ACGCTTCATTGCAGTGGCGAGGGTTAGCGTCGTTGTTGGTTAACTATTGAGCTGTTTACCAAACACAATACGGGAATTGAAATCAGAATTGCGGTAAATGAATAATTGGTTTTGCTTTAATTCATTTTAGTGGTTGTTTCAGCCGTAATAATATTTTTATGGTTTAAAATTCACTGAAGTAGTGAATATAATAAAACTATATTTTTTTATAAGATAAGGGTGACAAACGAGCACACAGTCCACCTGAAGGTAAATGGTTGCTGTGGACCATAGACATCTACATTTATCCTCGATTGCGAATGAAAATGCAGATGCGTTGTCACCCGTGAGGACTAAGATGGAATGCCTCTTGTCCAGTAAAAAGGGTCTCCGGTTCTCTACACTCACCATACGAAACACAGCAGCATTAAGCTGCTATTTTACGTTGGTACTCTGTGAGAGCGTGGTTCTTCCCCGGATGAGCCGACCCATTGGTGTTACAACTATACCGGAAATATAGCTACAGCATGGCTCTACCACGTATAATGAGGAATAAATCTTTTTGGCTCCATTTTTACTATAATTAATAGAATCAGGCGTTACTTTGCGGAAATCCATTATATAAAAACTTTTACAAAAATTTACTTCGCAAATATCCGCGTTATAAAATAAAATGATGTGTCTTACCTAGTACGAAGAGCACCTCCCGCCCTCCCTCAATTGCGTGCACTATCCCCGTCACCACTAATCCCAGCACCGCTACTCCCAACACCACTACACTAGGCAAGACACACCACTGACGATAATACGACACGTGTTTCGCCTCTACACGGGGCATCCTCAGGTGATATAGACTCTACGGTGGCTAACCGCTAAGTGAGCGGCGAGCCAAAACAAGTGCCTTTTATACAGACCGATGATGCAACCGCTCTCTACCTAAGGAGCGAGCGACTGCGTCATGCGATAAAGCATGCGACCAATCACCGCTGGACTTACGCAGCCGTTTGTAAAATTAAAAACAAACCGCCGCGCAACGACCACCCTCCAACCACGCAACCAATCGCCGATCACCGTGAGGGTGACAAACGACCATATTGCAAGGCTCTCTATTATTAGAGAGCAGGCTTGAAGATATTTAAGAGTTAGTGTAGTGGTGTTGGGAGTAGCGGTGCTGGGATTAGTGGTGACGGGGATAGTGCACGCAATTGAAGGAGGGCGGGAGGTGCTCTTCGTACTAGGTAAGACACATCATTTTATTTTATAACGCAGATATTTGCGAAGTAAATTTTTGTAAAAGCTTCCATTTTTACTACCCGACTGCCAAGGAAGGGTTATGTTTTTCGCGCGTATCTTGTATGTATGTGTGTTTGTAAATTTCTTTATTATCTCGTGTCTCCCAAATAGCTGGATTGATTTTCTTTTCTTCTTAAAAAGTGACCTATAGCTCTTTAAAAAAAAACGAAATGGCATATTTTTGGCGCGATATACACTCGTGAGCAAAAAATTCGACTCAGGACGCACGCTTGCGGATAAAAGTCTATAAAAAATCTGAAGCTTTCATTCTATTTCTGATTTCAATATCTCAAAGCGGCTAGTTTTAGATTCAAAATGAGTGGTCTTCGTTGTTGTCATAAACAATGAAACAAGATGATAATCAACAGTAAAGAAAAATCAAGTTTAATTTCGTCAAAATATTAATTTAATTGAAATTAACTTATCAATATTTAGTATCCCCCCCTCCCCCCTCCTGGCCCTAATAACAGCTTCCAATCGCTTCTTCATGGATCGAATAAGTTTCTTTACCCGATCATGTTCGATGCTATCCCATTCTTCAATGAGCGCCGCTTCCCATTCTTTAATGAGCGCCGCTTTGAGGTCCGATTTTAGTGGCTGGCTGGTGCAGGATTTCTAGCCCGAACTTTTCTTTTAAGTTCATCCCACAAATGCTCGATTGGATTTGAGTTGGGGCTACGGCACTGGCCAGTCCATAGCAGCAATTTCGATCTCCTGTAAATACTGCATGACGGAACCTGCAGTATGTGGACGGGAATTGTCGTGCATTAAAATGACGTGTTTCCCTAAAATCTTTTCGATGTATCGGTTCGCCGTCAATCCTCCCATTCGACCGCCAGTTTTAATAAAAACCAAGTTGGTTTTTGCATCCATTGAATTGTCCGCCCACACCATCCAGGAACCTCCTCCAAAAGCCACATTTTCTTTAATGCAGCACAGCGCGAATCTTTCTACGTGTCTTCTGTAAGCTCATCCTCTTCTATCGCTACCATGCGAGCACACTCTGCTTTCGTCTGAGAAGAAAACGAAGCTAAAACTGAGCTCCATTGTTCGTCAGTCCAATCAACGTGTCCTCTGGCAAACCGTAGGCGGGCTGCTCGGTGGGCTGGGGTTAATTTGGGGCCAGTAGCTGGCCTTTTTGGCTCAAAGTTAGCTGCTTTAAGTCGTTTTTTAACTGTCCAGCTACTCAAAGCCCCTTCTCGCGTTTCTTTGAACTCTTGTTGGACTTGAACGCCAGTGAGGGCCCGATTTCTCAGCGATGTGCAATGCAATGAATCTCAAATCATCTCTGATCAAATCTCTCTCCGATGTGCACCTTTTTCTTCCGGAACCACGGATTAAAGTTACCAGTCTTTTGGTAACGACGGTAAACTCTGGAAACAGCAGACTGGTTCATGATTAGCGCATGTGCCACTTCAAGCTGAGTCTGGCCTTGTCGCAATAGGGTGACCGCTTGAGCAGCTTCATCACTTTTTGTATCCATTTTCAGGTAAAATCCTTGTTTGTTAATAACGGAGATGTGTATCGGTTGACCTTTGACGGCTAACTGATAAGGGTGGGTCAGGTAGATAACCTTTTATATGGGTCAGTAACCCTTCATTAGCACTATTGTAAACAAGGGTGAAAAGGGTGGTCACCGATCACAACATATTGTTGGGTTGTGTGACCAAGAAACATTACAATATTTTATAATCATTTTGAAGCTAATACTATCAGCTTTAACATATTACTAAGAAAAAAATATTTTCGCGTTCAGTTTTTTTGCCAGTGACTTACTACTGCAGGTGTGTCGCCGGAGTCGATTTTTTTGCTCAAGACGAAATTTAGAATAGTTAGAAATATTCGGGACACTAAAAAGTCTAAAATAAAATAAATAATTTAGACCCAATTGCAAATTATAAACCGAAAAAAAATTAATGGGTTAACTTAGGCTTTAAGCTCATAATATAGTCTGTTAAAACAAAGTAGGGTTTACTTGGTTTATAGTTTATTTTAAATTTTTTTCTAATCTCAATCTTGTTTAAGAATTTTTAGTGCATTACTTTAAAATTGTCTTTTTGCAGTTCGGTTTTGATTTTTAATTATTTATTAACTTCCTTCTGCGTAGCATTGAAAGGAAGTTAATGGTTTTAGCTGGCAGTCTGTTAGTCTGTATGCCGACACGATAACTTCCGTTCCACTGGACCGATTGACTTTAAATTTGGTATGTGGATACCTTGAGGTAGTAGCTCGGTCGAGTTTGAATTTGGGTCTTGTATGTCAAAGGGCACCAGAGATATGGGATTCACGCAGAAGGAAGTTGTTTTTCTTGAATTTACATTCAACTCGTTTTATTTTATAAAAGTGTAGTGACAGACGCACTTGCAGCCCAGCTGCTGATAAGTAGATTGCTATGCGGACCACAGCACTGGTGATGCTTTATAAACCGTCCGTGCCAATGTTTCTCGGAAAAATATCGCCGAGTACCGGAACAAACTTGTGTCTGAAGTCGAGATATTGTTGAACAAAGTCCCGGATTGGTTGCGACTAAATCTAGTCCAGTTCAATCCGCAAAAGACAAAACTTCCCTTGTTACCTCAGCCAGTATCAGAATCCTCGGCGTCGACATATCGAATGACTTACAATTTCGTGGTCACTTGGTAGAGAAGGCCAATTTGGCCTCTAAATATCTTGGCGTGCTCAGCAGAGCGAGATAGTATTTTATCGACTTACCGTCTGCAATTTACAAGGCGCAGGTTCGGCCTCAAATGGAATACTATTCCCATCTCTGGGACGGGAATCGACAGTGCCTGCTCCTTCCATTTAGGTTTAGGTTTAAATAATTTCTTCTCACAAAAAGATTACAAAATCAACTTACATGAGAACAATAATATAAACTTAATCTAGGTAACGGTCACCGTCTTCACAGTTTCATCGTGACACTCTCCGAAATTACAAGTCAGCAGCATTCAAGAATCTAGTTGTGCAATTGAGACTTAAAATTGTTACAGGAATCTATATTTTTAATATGAGAAGGTAGGCTGTTATAAAAGTGTGCTCCCTCAAAGGTAATTTTTTTTTCCTAATTTGGTATGTGTCTTTGGCAATACGATACATTTGATCACATCCAGCGTAGAGCGGTTCGATTCGTCGACAACCGGGCTCTTTCTGATCGGCTCAACTCACTGGCATTGTGAAGATATGTTGCATCTCTTACAGATGTCTTATCACCTCTGAGGATTAAGATGTATTGCCTCACAGCCTGTAGTTATATTGGCTCTCAATAGCCTTCAGACCAAAAAAGTAAACATTTATTTTTAATCTTTATGTATATGACGGCATAACGAAAGCGTCGTCGTACGCCGGCACAGCTGATAATTGTAAACAGCACGTGCACCGATCACACCACCGGCGCTCCGCACGCTTTCCCCCACCGCCCCACTACTCGACTTGTTTTGCAACGGGTATAAAACGAACGCGCAGCGACGGATCGGCAGTCTCGGCTCTAGCGTGACTCGGTGCACTAGTTGTACCAGGTTGTAGCGCATCCTAGAATTATTATCCTTAATTGTAAAAGTGCACTACTGCAATTTATAATGAAATTAAATAAATAGTATTCCGTAAATCTCTGCGACTACTTATTCAGCATGGACGACCTCTCTCCTACATCAGAAGTGGGATCAGATCCACCCCCACTCCATAATATTTTGGCACAACCACCAATCTCTTTCTTCTCTGGAATGGAAACAATGTTCAAAAAAATAGCTGATAGCATAAATTTGCAACAAAACTCTTCATCTACCATACTGATAGTTTTGGTATCTTTCGACCCCGATGTTCCTGAGTCTGATATTAGCAACTGGTGCGCATTAAGCGAAATGATCGTAGAAAAAAGAAAATTAGTAGGTGTTGATCTTATCATTGCACTAACTCATTCCCTTAAGGGGCGTGATGCTACCTGCATTACAAAAATACAACCTGACAAAATTTCTTGGCCCACCATTAAGGAAATGCTTATCTCAAATTTTTGTAAACCTATGATGATGCAAGATCATTTCGATCGAATAATTAAGTTTCGCATTTGTAATAAAGATAGTCCCGCTGAGGCCGGCTTGCGTTTATGGCAGCTGATTGAAAGAATCCCTGATGCCAACTTACCCGAACACGTTATCACTAGTTTTGTGGTCTCTGTTTTATCCCAATGTGACGACAAAATTCGTCGTGAATTGAATTCAGTTGTCGTAAACGATAAGCATCAACTTTTTCGTATCTTGCGGGGAATTTCACTTAAAAGATGCAATGACGAGTTCGTCTCATCAGAAATAGAACCCAAGAAAATTCGAACGTCCACAACGTTTAAGGGTAGTTGCCACTTCTGTGAAAGAGTTGGACACCGCGGTTTCGAATGTCGTGACGAACATCGTTTCAATAATAAAAATATCTCTGTATCACATAAACCCGAGCAAAGTAAGACTATGACATCCTGCTACATCTGCCGTGATACCAGCCACATAGCCAGCAACTGTCCTAAGCGACCTGTCAAGAAAGAAGACGCCCTATCGGGCAGCAAGCAAGTCAACCTGTGCTCCAAGGCAGCTCACGGTACCCTGGAAACTAGTGGTATGAAGTTGTTGTTTATTTTTGACTCTGGTTCAGAATGTAGTCTCATTAAACAAAGTAAAAGTGATCACCTTGAGGGTGATAGGTTTCATGATCAGATTCTATTAAAGGGTATAGAGGTCAATAGCATTATATCTCCTTTGCAAGTAAGATGCTCAGTTTGCATTCAGGGTTTGCCTTTAAATGTAACTTTTCACGTATTACCGGACGAATGTACAAACGAAGAGGTTTTGTTAGGACGTGATATATTGCAAAACGAACTTTCTGTGGAAATTAATAGTAACTCAATACATTTTTTCAAGGCCAAGTTAACAAATTTCTGTACAAAGCTAAACAATGGACTACAAACTATTGATACTGATTTAACAGGCTCCGATAAAGAAAAGCTTATTAGTATTTTAAATAAGTATTACAAAAATTTTATTAACCAGCTACCAACCATGCAGGTTACCACTGGAGTTAAAAATTCAACTTATTGACCCAAGCAAAATAGCTCATAGGCGACCTTATAGACTATCTCCTTTGTAGTTGGAAATCGTTAATAATAAGTAAGTAAGTCAAAGAACTTTTAGATGCAAATATTATCCAAGAAAGTTCTTCACCCTTTGCAAGTCCCACTTTGTTGGTAAAAAAGAAAGATGGTAGTGATCGTTTGTGTGTTGATTATCGGGAGTTGAATAAAAATACGCATTCTGATAGCTACCCATTTCCATTGATTAGTGACCAAATGGATAAGCTACACGGAGCAAATTACTTTTCAAGTATAGATATGGCCTCTGGGTTTCATCAGATCAAGGTTCATGAAGACTCAGTAGAAAAAACTGCTTTTGTTACTCCAATCGGTCAGTTCGAATATATAACTATGCCTTTTGGACTTCAAAATGCCCCACAGGTCTTTCAAAGAGCCATCAATTCCGCACTTAAGCCCCTTGACGATGACAGAATCCTAGTTTACATGGATAACGTACTCTCTGTATCGGAAACGGTCAGTGAAGGTTTAGTGAGGCTAGACTATTACTAGAAACACTTTCTAATTCAGGGTTTTCTTTCAAGTTTGATAAATGTTCATTTATGAAAAAGAAGATCGAATGTTTGGGATATACGATTTCTTCTGGAGAAATTAGACCAAATCATCGGAAAATAGAAGCTTTGCAAAAATTGCCAACCCCAACCACCGTTACACAAGTAAGGCAATTGATTGGCTTGGCCTCTTATTTCCGTCAATTCATTCCCAATTTCTCTAAATTACTAAAACCTCTTTACCCTTTGACTGTCGCAGGGAAAGGGAAAATATCATGGACCCCCGATCATAATAAAGTCCTTAAAACTATAATCACTCATTTGACAACCGAGCCTGTTCTTAAAATATTTGATCCAAAGCTACCCATAGAACTTCACACAGACGCGAGTAGCGAAGGTTACGGCGCAGTTCTGATACAAAAAGTAAATCATTTACCTCACGTGATTGCTTACTTCAGCCACCGAACAACTGGTGCAGAGAGTCGTTATCACTCATACGAGCTCGAAACTTTGGCGGTAGTTAAGGCTGTAGAGCATTTTCGGCACTATTTGTACGGTCGTAAATTTACAGTTTTTACTGACTGCAGTTCTCTAAAAGCTTCTCACTCAAAGAAAGACTTGATGCCCAGAGTACATAGATGGTGGGCTATACTGCAGTCCTATGATTTCAATATAGTTTATAAAGAAGGTAGAAATATGTGCCATGCTGAATTTTGTTCACGTAATTTTGCTCATGACGATCTATCTCCAAGTGCCAATCAAACACCAAAGATCGTTAATCTTACAGAGCTGGAAAAGGGATGGCTTGTTGTAGAACAACAACAAGTGATTCTGAGATCGCAGATACCATTTCAAAATTAAGGTCCAGTGATTATCCGACTGAAATATCACACACGTACGATATTAGACAGGGCGTTCTCTTTCGAAAAATTGAACAGGGCAAAATTTCAAGATGGTTACCCATTGTTCCTAGATCATTAACATGGACCCTAATCGGCCATGTTACGCTATGAAATAAAACATCTTGGTTACGAAAAACCTCTCGATAAATTGTATGATCTTTACTGGTTTCCGAATAAAACATATTGGCTACGAAAAAACTCTCGATAAATTGTATGATCTCTACTGGTTTCCGAATATGGCAAAATATGTTAAAAAATATATCGATTCCTGCGTAATATGCAAAGCATCTAAGGGACCTTCGGGTGCTCAACAAGTACAATTACACTCAATCCCAAAACCAGCTATTCCATGGCATACTATTCATCTATATTTGTCTGGCAAACTAAGTGGTAAAAGCGATTTAAAACAATATTGCTCTGTTGCTATAGATGCCTTTACAAAATTTGTAATTTTGGAACATACTACTTCGTTAAATTCTTGTCATGCTATTAAAGCACTGAAAAATTTGGTAAATCTTTTTGGTGCCCCCAAAAGAATAATTGCTGAATTGTCATATGATCGTGGACGTTCATATGACAATTCAGATTTTAAAGATTTTTGTAAAGATCGTAACATTAATTTACATCTAATTGCAACTGGTTCCAGTAGAGCTAATGGCCAGGTCGATACAGTGATGCGAACTCTTAAAAGTCTGCTCACGATAGTAGAATACGATTCCGATAGCTCGTGGCAGGATCAGATAGGTGAAATTCAATTAGCCCTCAATGGCACACGTTGTAGGGTGACCGGATTCACACCTATCGAACTAATGTTTGGAATTCAAGGTAATTCCTTAGGGATATCTAAAATAGCTACTTCTTTCCCAGACCATGAAAAACACAGATTAGACCTTGATGACATTAGAGCAAGCGCGTTAGATAATATCATTAAATTATCACAAGCAGACTCCATTCGCTTGAACAAAGGTAAAGCCAAAATTAAACCATTTTCTATAGGTGATTACGTGTTTTTGAAATCCGAAGAAAGACATCAGACCAAACTAGATAGGAAGTACAAAGGTCCTTTTAAAATTACTGCTGTTTTAAATAATGATCGCTATGAACTAAAACATATAAATGGGTCAAATCGAATTTTTAAATATTCCCATGAAAACTTAATAGAGGTGCCCCGTGGTCCCTCTGCTTGTCTAGATATTATTGAAAACTGTAGTGAAGATAACGAAGAACTAGAGCAAGCGGATATTAATGATCATGAAATCTATGCCCAACTTGATAATACCTCTGAAACTGATACTACTAGCTCACGTACGATTTCAATTGATTCTGAAGATACCATGTCTGTTTATTCTGAACCTACAATTATAGTAACACAAGCTGATATCCATAGAGCTAATGATAGTGATTAACATGTATCTTGAAAATTATCATTGTAGGGCTTAGCCGGTCTAATGATAAAAGTTACAAAAAAAATGAAAAAAAGAGAAAAAAGACGTTTTGAAGGGCATATTGCCGGACCAAAAATGATTAGTGTTGCAGGGTTCAAAGGAACCGGTCCAATACTAATTGCCTGAAGGGTCAATGTAGACCGGACCAGAGCTGACTATTAATATCTGCAGGGTCATTATAGACTGGACCAGAACATATTGCCGAATTTGTAAAAATTTATGATTTTTGTCAGGATAATCGAGCGATGCCTACTGTTTCAGGACGATAGTGATTCTGTTGCTGCGTACGAGGACGTCCACATGTCAGAATTGCTGTGACGGCACGCCGGCACAGCTGATAACTGTAAACAGCACGGGCACCGAACACGCCACCGGCGCGCTGCACGCTTTCTCCCACCGCCCCACTACTTGACTTGTTTTGCAACGGGTATAAAACGAACGCGCAGCGACGGATCGGCAGTCTCGGCTCTAGCGTGACTCAGTGCACTAGTTGTACCAGGTTGTAGCTTATCCTAGAATTATTATCCTTAATTGTAAAAGTGCACTACTGCAATTTATAATAAAATAAAATAAATAGTGTTCCGTAAATCTCTGCGACTACTTATTCAGCATGGACGACATCTCTCCTACATATATTTCCAGATATATTTGTTAGCTCTTCGCTTAGTCATCAATGACTGACCTTTAATTTAATTATGGGAATGTGGGCAATTAAGATTCATATTAAAATAAACTAACAGTTCATTTTTATTTAAATTAATACATGCTCTATTTCTTTCTTCTTTCCACTTTACTTTCAAGACGGAATATTTTTTTCGTAAAACTTACATTTTTTATACGATAGGGTGACAAACGAGCACACAGTCCACCTGATAGTAAGTGGTTGCTGTGACCCATAGACACCTACATTTATCCTCAATAAACAATCAAAATGCAGATGCGTCGTCACCCGTGAGGACTAAGATAAAATGCCTCTTTTAAAGTAAAATGGGTCTCCGGTTCTTTACACTCACCATACGAAACACAGCAGTATCAAGCTGCCATTTTACGCTGGTATTCTGCGAGAGTGTGGTTCTTCCCCAGTCGAGCCGACCCATTTGTGCTACATGTTATACTACTAATATAGCTGCAGCATGGCTCTACCACGTATATTGTTACTTACTTGATAGAGCCATGCTATAAAAATATACGTAACAATATACGTATATTGTTACGTATATTGTACACTTGTTCCATACTTCCAGTCATAGTTAATATGAAAAAGCGTGGCAGTTAAATTAGGGATAAAATATAATATTTTTCGTACTATGTTATATTTATCTATAATATATAGAACAATTAACTGAAATATAGTACGATACTATATACAGTACGAGTAGCAACCCTATTCAGACCGAAACACAGGTATGCAAGCACTGCTATTTGACCCCAGAAATAGTTAAGAGGGTGGTACCCCGACAAACTATTAAGCAGAAAATGAGTGCCACCACCTAGTGAAGCTTTGTAAAGTCTTAGGTAGACTTGATATATAAGAGCATGTGAATGTATGTACCTTGACTGCCTCGTTGGTTTAGTCTTGGGTCGGGCCAAAATCAGTTAAATCGGATTTTCTATTGAGATATTCTTAGTTTACTATTCTTAGTTACTTCTCACAGAATACAAGCGTAAAATAGCAGCTTAATGCTGCTGTGTTTCGTATGGTGAGTGTAGAGAACCGGAGACCCTTTTTACTGGAAATGAGGCATTCCATCGTAGTCCTCACGGGTGACAACGCATCTGCATTTTGTTTGATGTAGATGTTTTTGGGCCGCAGCAACCACTTACCATCAGGTGGACTGTGTGCTCGTTTGTCACCCTTATCCTATAAAAAAAAAAGATATTCTTAGTAGCAGGTCGCAGTCAGAAAGTTGGCGGAGCTTCACCCACGTTCCTTACATAAAGTCGTTTGTTTTGCTCCTGATCTTCCGGGTTATTCCATCGAACTATAAGAATGAGGGAATAGAGAGTGCATACTGTACTTGCTCACACCCGTGCGATATTATCCTATTCTACGTTGATGTCTTGTCACCTTTGAGATTGGCCGAGGTAACCAGAAATTTGGTCTAGAGGACA